CCATTGTATTCACTTCTACAAAATCTGAGATAAATCTGAGAAACTAATACACTCTGTTATAGAGCATCTGTGACACTGTCTGTTTTTTATTACAAAATTACATGTTCAGAATTCAACCTTTGTTATATTTGAACCAGGTGGAGGTGTAGGTAGTTTGAACAAGGGATTTTAGTGAGAGGTTTAAGATGTCACAACAGCGATGTGTGATTAAACAGGGCTGAAAAAATGTAATCTTATTTATCTCTAAGATTTTTGTCTATGCTTGATGCGTTAACTGTTTCTGAAGGTACCACATCTTTACTTTGGCCTAACATGTGAATGTAGTGTTGAGTTCAAAGTAAAAAAGTGACTACATTGCTGTTGAGGTTTCCTTGCCAAGGGGACGTAAAAGTTGGTGATTTCACATTTTTGATCTGTATGGGAGGGCTAAAAAATTGTACAAAGTTTTAAAATGCACATGTTTTGCTATAATTGTTTTGCTCTAGGCAACCCCAACACAATGCATTAACTATCACCTTACTGATATAGTGGACTTTTAACAGTTAAATAAGTTCACTTTCTTAATTTTATTCAAGATTAGGTCATAAAATGTCACCCCTGAATAAAACATCCAAGAATAACCGAAATGATCACCAACTAAAGAAGCTCTTAATTGTTAAACAAATTCTCTCCTGTCAGCGCCATAGAAAATGCACAGAGAACAGTATACTGTTGTTAGGGCGTAAAGGGTTCACGTACTAACAAATTGAATCCCGAACATTTCGTCAAATGGCATGTTTTCAGTTTTCACTAAGTTGAAGGATGTTGTTTGTTTTCATGAATAGTCATAGTCGTCCCTAAGATCATTGTATTCCATAATATGTTTCCTTATCTTCGATGTGTCTGTCCACGTCACAAAATCTTCCATGTTCTTTGTCACAAGGAAAGCAGGATCCGTGATAACTTCTGGTCCGACTCGAACATGTCCTTGTTCAATGTATTTCACAGCATCTTTCACTGCTTGAGCCATTCGCAATCGCACCATCACAACTGGAAGCCTTCGACGACAGAAAGCCGATGAACTCAGCTTTTCACACAAAGATAAGTTCTTTTTAGTCGTGATCAATCCAAGTGAGTAAAGTTTCTCCAATAACTGCTCAGTAGCTTCGGCTCGGAATGGATCTTTTGCATCGAGGTGTTTGATTTTGTTGGCAAGAGATCTTACCATTCCGCAAACTTTGTTATATTTAGTGTAATCCTCCCTCTTTTGGATATGATACTTTCGTAATATCTTCACTTCACGGAGGTTATTATCGCTTTTCCATGAAATAAAGTCTACTTTTTTCAAGAGCTTCTTCTCGTGAAATTTTAGCTTTCTCACCATTTTGAAATCCACACGAGGTGAAAAGTCGCGAGAGAGCTAGGTCTAGGCGATGGCTGATACCGCTGACTTTCTAAGTTAAATCTCTACCCAGGCTGCACTCGGCGTAAAATTCCATCATGGCGGCTGTGTGTTGAGCTCGACAGTACGCGAAAATGTTGTACCTTGTGGGTCTTGGGTTAGGAGATGCGAAGGATATCACTGTTAAAGGACTCGAAATCGTTAAAAAGGCAGACTATGTATTTCTGGAGGCATATACATCAATTCTTTGTGTAGGAAAGGAAGTATTGGTAAGCACATTGGGATTACTAAAATTACAACAATCAAATATTTTATTTGCTTCGGTAAAACTCCCGTTTAGGATAGAATCATACGGAAAAAAATCTTTCCTTCCACAAAGGATTCCTTTCCATATAGGAAAGAGGGACGGAGGGAAAAGATGTTTTTTTTCTGAAATGTCAATCGTGACCAAAGTTAGAAGTTATGAACATGTAACTTCTCCCTATAATATTCATACAGGAGCCAGCAAACAGGCAACGAGAATACCCAAACTTATCAGGGGGAAGTTCTTACCTTGATTTAACATCAAATTCTTGTTACTGATTTAAAGGGCAATGTGTAGCAGCTGGAGGGGAGAATTAACAACCAGATCTTTGGAGTTAAAGGGTAAAGACATTCCTTAGGATTTCTTAATCTTGATTCACTTATTGGGGTCAAATGATGCAGAGAATCTGAAAACGACCACAAATTTACAACTTGAATTGGCAGATTCAAATGTCCTCTTAAAAAAAGGATAAAAAATGAAATACATGTAATATATGAATAAAATTATCTCAAAATTATATCCTTCCCCGATTCTTTGAGGGAAGGCATCAAAATGTAAGCAAATCAGATTTTGTTTAGAACTCATCCAGAATGTTTTTTCTCTTTTTTAGGAAGAATTTTATGGATGCAAAATCCAGTTGGCTGACAGAGAAACAGTGGAACAAAATTCAGGTGAATACTTGTGTTAAATAATTTTATTTGTAGAACTTGAAATGTTACATTTTTAAAAAGGATAATTGTTAGGAGAGCCTGGGGCTCAATGGATATCATGCTGGACTCCAGGTCTCACAATTTATGTCACAGCCCTGGGACGCAAATGAAAAGAAAGATAAATGGTGAGAAATCCATGAAAAACCATTAACCCTTTAATGCCCATGGGTGACCAGGACAGAATTTCTCCTTACAATATCCATACAATATCAACCAGATAAGTGATGAGAATTAAGAAAAATAATAATTTGGGGATAATTAGTGGGTCCAATACTAAAATTCTCTGAACTAACATAATAATAATTGTATGGTTGACATTTAGGAGAATTAGAAATTTGAACTGGTAGTTAAAGGGTTAAGGCTTGAAAGGGTAGATTCCCTCACAAGCAGATAAATAAACCTACTGTAGACAACAGATGAAGTAAATGACATATCAACAAGCTATATTATAATGATCATTAGTGGGATTAGTAGATGATGAGAATAGACATTTCGCTTGTGAAGACCTTAGAGTAATTTAATGCTAAACATAGTTGCTGAACCTCTGTCACACTTCACTCAACTGAAAATCATAACAAATGGTTCAGGAGTTAACCCTTTACACCATAACATCAGTAAGCATTTTCTCCATACTGTTCTCTATACATTTGCCAGGGTACCTAAAAGGAGAAATTGTGTAACAGTCAAGAGCTTACTTAGTTGGTGATCATTTACTTTATTCTTGAGACCTTGATGTATGATTTAGGGGTGATTTTACAAGGAGAAACTAGATACCGATCACTCTTAAGGTTTAACCCTTTAACACCTAAGAGTGACTAGCATCTAATTGCTCCTTCAAATATCACCACTGAATCACACTTTAGTGTCATGAAAATAAAGGAAATGATCACCAACTAAAGGAACTCTTGATTGTTAGAAAAATTCTCCTTGTCAGCACCTTAGTAAATGTACAGAGAACAGTATGGAGAATATGAATTCTGATGTTAGGGTGTAAAGGGTTAAGAAATTCTATAGTTACTTTTGATAGACCAACATCCTCTCTTATCCCATCCTAGTTGATAAAAAGAAAACCACTATGAAAGTTCTCTAAAGATAAATTCAGCTGATGATTATCTCTAAAAGATTAAAATAATATGAACTGTTTGTTCTTTAGATCTTATTCTGGAGCATGCCAAGGAGAAAGATGTTGCTTTCTTGGTTGTTGGAGATCCCTTTGGGTAAGAAACAGCCAGCTTGATTAAGTTAAATTGCTTAATGTAGTCTACCTTGTGAGCAGAGTCTATAAAGTATTACTAAATTTGCAGTAAACATGGCCTGTAAATTTTAGTGTAATAGACCTGCTCTACTGAAATGCTTTTTTTTTTATTTTAGTTTTTTGTTTATATCATTTAGATATAATAATGAAACTTGTGGTGTGTTTCTTTACTTAACCCTTCAACTCCCAGATCAAATTTGTAATTCTCCTTACTGTCAACCATACAATTCTTATAAAGTTAGTTTAGAGAATTTTGTGTTGAATCAACTAATTATCCCTAAATTGATATTTTCTTTATTCTCATCACTTATCTGATTGCTTTTGTACTGATATTGTAAGGAGAAATCCTGTCTTAGTCACTCATGAGAGTTAAAGGGTTAAGTCTGAGATCAGCTAAAAGACCCAGATCATAAGGACTTTTTGCAGAGAGGTCGAATCATTAGCCATGAGGTTTGACTTTTCTTGAGGGCTCAGAATGTTTTCTTTGTGCCATGCTGGTGATAAGAGGAAAAAGTATTATTTTTGTATTTTTTTTTCAAAGGGCCACTACCCACACAGACCTGGTATTGAGAGCTCACCAGATGGGCATTCAATACCAAGTGATCCATAATGCTTCTATTATGAATGCAGTTGGATGCTGTGGACTTCAGGTAGTTATCACAAAGCTTTGATTTTACTTATAAGTGTATAGTACAGTAACTGTACATATATGTATGGTAGTTATAAACAGTCTTTACTATTGTATTCTTCATCTTCACAGTTTGATTGCTGCCTAGAATTGAATATTTTAGCAGACTTGTGCAGCCCTAGACTCTTTTAAAGAGAGGTCAAATTTTCTTGATTGACATTGTCACTCAGATCAATGCCTGCAAAGAGTAAAATTTGACAGTTTTAACAATTGTCTAAAATTTTTTCTGGCTCCAAGGCTGGACAACCATGCCATTGAAATTTGAAATGGTTCTACACAATTATTGTAGGAAAAAAAAAACATCATGTGCTCTTGTTCAAGGGAACTGGTGACAAATATTTTTTCCTAACAGTCAGTGTGCTGGAATCCTTGTCAAGAGGCCTGGGTTCAAGACCTAGCTAGGTCATAGTGTTGTGTCCATGGGCAAAACATTTTACTTTGAGTGGATCTCTCTCCAACTGGGCACCAGGTATTCAGAGGGTGGATAACGCTATTTACCGGATGTGTCATCCACCAGTGGATACCCTAGTTCATTTTTAAACCACTATTTACAAGATGGTGATTTATCCGTTGGATAGTGTTATCTGCTCTTTGACCAACTGGGCCTAGGAGTTTAAATGAGTATCAGCAAGTTGTTAGGGTGGCCTGATAAGAAGCTGGGGGATAACCTTGTGATAGACTTGTGTTCCATTCATGGGGGAGTAGCTTCATGCTAAGGAAACCAGGAAAAAATCTGGCTCCAGGGATGGATCACTTAGATCAAGTACAAATGCAACCTTTTAATGTTAAAACATTGATTATAAACATTACAAACTTTTCATTTCAGTTATACAACTTTGGAGAGACAGTGTCCATTGTACTTTGGACTGATAACTGGAAACCAGGCAGTTTTTATGATAAGATTGCAAGTAACAGAAAACAGGGTCTTCATACACTTTGTTTATTAGGTAAATGCTCACGGTGAACCCTAACATCAGTGCGCAAGTTCTCTATACTATTCTCCATACATTTCCTAAGATGCTGATTAGGAGAATTTGTTTAAAAAATCAAGAACTGCTTTGGTTGGTGGTCATTTCCTTTGTTTTTGCAAGGGTAATGTTTGATTCAGGGGTGATTTTGTAAGGACTAATTAGATGCTAGTCCTAAAGTGTTAACATTCCTTTTCATTTTGAGAAACATTTCTGTGCTTGGACAAAACCCAAACACTATTAAATTTAATCTTGGTCATGAAGATTTTTTCTCTATTTTAGTGTAGATTAGACAATGATGTTTTACACTCATAATGATTTTTGGTGATAGTTTGTAATATAAAGAAAGATTGTGAAATCAGTTTTTCACAAGGGTCAAACTTTGAGACTCTGGCAAAAAAGATAAGATGACAAATGTTTTTAGCCTAGTTGTTGAATTGCTTGCAGTTAATGAATGAGTGAGAGGGCTAAAAGGGAAAATATTTTGCTCAAGGTCATGACATTCAGATCAAGCATAGCAAGGATCACGTGTCATGACCCAGAGCCAAATATTTTTACTTGTTTAGCTTGACCTTTTTCAGTTGTCAAGTATTTTTTAATGTGACCATTGCTCTTCTATCCCTTGCTGTCTTTTTTTTATTTGCATCCTGCAGGGTAGTATGACTTTTTCGATGCTGCTAATGCAGTTGTGTACAGCCCTCGTGTTTTTTAATATAAGCGTGTGCTTGGGGTAACAAGGGTACTCAAATGGTATTTTATTTTGTGTTCTCACATTAACCTTGTAACCCTTTAACTCTCAGATCAAATTTGTAATTCTCCTTACTGTCAACCATACA